ACTCCAAAATACTTTATCAATAATGACACCCAATTATAAATATAATATACACATTAATAACCAATTAATTTAATTGATCTCAATAGAAAGTAATAAATACCTTTTTGGATTTTCTTATTTGATTGTTACCAGGTCCAATTATTCTTTTAATATCATCCTAATATTTTCTAGAACTAATATTAATTATTTAATTAATTCTTTCCAATATAAAGCATTTATTTTGTTCTTATTTACTTTTCCAACATCATTACGAATAAATCCTTTTTTTATCTATTTTGACTTCTGTTTTACTTTCCAACATATTGATTGTTTCTGCTGGATTTTGGTCGGAGTTCCTTTCTTTTCCCTTTCTGTTGGCATTAATTGTAAAGGACCTAAAACCTTAGCAATTTTGCTTTCCATATCAGGACATACGGTTCACACACTCTCTATAATAACAACGGGCTAAAATTTTGTCCCAATTTGAAATCTCTCTCTATGATGGATATTGTTAAATAATATTAATAGTATGGAAAACCTGACAAATTTTTTTTGTAGGACCTCCTTTAATCTGTTTTCCACTTCTTCTCTTTATCATCACCCCATCATTCTTCTCGTTCAACCTCTTCTCCTTTTCTTCCTCGAACTTTTCCAATTTCTTCTCGGCCTTTCCCAATTTTCTCTCTGTTCTTTCAAAACGTTCTGCAATTGTTTCGACAGCAGTCATTTTTTAAAAAGATTAATTAGATCATAATTGTCAGCAATAATTTGGCCAATAGTAAACGAGCTATTAAGTGGTACATCACTTGGAATTTATTACGACAAAAAAAAAATAATCTCGTCTTTATTTTAATTCAACCAATACGCATAATAATTTATATAAGTTAAAAAATTGTCAGAGCACTTGCATTGGAGGAAAATACTCGGGCCCAAAGCCATTGTGCGCACTAACTAATTCCATTACTATTCTTTTTATTATTAATATTGATATATTTGTTTTCATTATTTTCGTCATCTCAATCTCTATCTCTTTCTTCGTTTCCTTATCAACTACTGTTGGATCGCTTTTATCGTTTTCCTTCCATGATTAGTTTTTCGTTGATAGAAATTTTTGATAAACTTTTAAAAATAAAATATTGTCTGTATTTACTTTGTTTAAAGCGCTTTGATAAAAGAAAAACAAGTGTAGTCGTTATTGAGCAAGCAAGTTTAACTGGTGAGTGTAAGGTTGATCTTACAATATATTACGCTACTCAAATTAAATGTCCGTTTTTTGCTCTTGATTAAATTACTCTGTAATTATTAACTATAAACTAAAAA